GATAGACACAGGGGAAGGCAAAATGAGTCAGAGAATGAGGAGCCAGAAGATTAAAAAAGATTGCTGGAGTTAGTTTGAGGCCAAGCAGAGGCCGAGAGAAAAGCCAGGTTGAATAAGTCAGCTAGAAGAGGAGTTTGAGCCAGAACAGCTGAGTTGAACCAGTCAGCCCAGAGCTCAGTAAGAACAAGAGAGGATTAAGCAGTAAGTCTCAGAGGCTGAAAACTTTCTAGGTTATATTGTATGGAGGCTAGAAGGTTTCAGGACTAGGCCTAGGTTAGAAGTCAGAGGCAGTAAGCCTCCAATACAACAACTGAATCAGGTGAATAAAAGTTGTTTTGTTGTTGTTTTACATGGATGTGTTAGTGCAGGCTCATGTGTGCCACAGTATCCACATGTGGAGATTAGAGGCTGACAGGATGACGTCAGGCCCTTGCCTTCCATCTTGGTGGAGACAGGTTCTCTTTATTGTTCTGTTTCTCTGCATGGCCAGGCTCTGGTGAGTCCCCTGTCTTTCTCTCTCATCTCATTCTACAGCAGGTTATGGAGGGGTGCTGCTGACCTGGCTTTTTGTGGGTTCTCAGTCTCCAAACTCAGGACCACACTCCACAGCCAGCTCTTTACCCACTAAGCCATGTCTCCAGACCAGCATTGTATCCTAGGGTGGTATAAAACTCTTGCCGGAAGTTCTAGGTTTCTCAGGCTTTAAACATGTACTTTCATTTATCACCGAAGGCAGACCCTTGGCTTCTGAGTTCCTAATGTATTCCTAACCCGGATGGGTCAATCATTCAGCGTTTGGAGCCTCAGTTGCTTGAATTCAGACTATATTAAGGATCCTGTAGCTAGGTATGTGGTACAGGCTTGCAATCTCAGATACTCTGGAAGCTGAAGCAGAGGGATCGCAAGTTAGAGGCCAGCATGGGTACGTTAGTGAGATTTCAAAACTAACAGGGAGGCAGTGCTGGGAGAGGGATTTCCTGGTACACAGAACACCTGGGCTCAACCTCCTGCACTATAACAACAGCAAAGATACTGCTCCTCTGTTAGTCACCCTTCTCAAGACGGACCAGCCTGGAGCCTTAGTCAGTGTCCTGTGATGCAGTGGAGCTAGCAGGGAGCCTCCTGTACATACGCAAGGCTCTGGGTTCGAGCCCCAGCCCTACAAACAAACAACACAATACCATGCAAACAAACAAACAAACAAAATACCAGGTGCATACCACAGGACATTTTCCTTCCCAGGAATGTTCAGCATGTCCCAAAGACAGTCAGCCTAGGATCAGGGATGTGGCTCGGTGGTAGAGCACTTCTTTAGCATATACAACAGGAAAAAGAAAAAGGATATTCATTCAGGGGACAGAGGCAGGAGGGTTTTAGTTGGAGTCCCACTTGGGCTACATAGTGAGACCTCGTCCTGCCACTCCACATGCAGACTGTCCTGTCCTTACCAGGCTGGGCCAGAGGGAGGAGAGCTCCCCAGGGCAGGGGGCACAATGCAGGGCTTGGTCCGCAGGGATGTGCAGGCAAAGAACAGACACCCAGGAACAGTACCGGAGAACTGTCTTGCCTACTGGGGGCAGGTGTTGGAAGATACTTCACCTGCGTACTCAGGAGCTAGGGCTTCTGAGAGGGAAAAACCTTGTAAGATCAAACAAGGAGTAAGGCCTGATAACTGTCAGGGTGGTAAATTCTTACTAGGATTGATAGCGTAGCCAGGCTGAGAGGGGGAGGGAGCCAACTCCTACAGTCCTCACCTGAGGTGTCACCCGAAATTGAAACTGCCCCAATCCTTCTTCCGGGAACCATTATGGCCCCACATTGTCCCAAATACAAAAACAAGGGGCTGGAGGGATGGCTCAGCAGTTAAGAACACTGTCTGCTTTTCTAGTGTATCCAGGTTGGGTTCCCAGCACCTTGTGGTCTCTTTCAGCTGTCTGTAACTCCAGTTCCGGAGGCTGTCACTACTCACCTCCATCTCTTCCTGCTTGCATGTGGTATACATACACTCAGGCATACATACTACACATAGAATTAGATAAAAAGAAAATACATTAGGTGAAGGGATCGCCCCTGGCACGTGGTAGCACTCATTGGTGGCAGGCCAGGCCTGGGCGGTCCCATCTTGTGGCAGACACTGCATATGCTGTAGACCCTGTTAAATGCCATTCACGAGAGGCCGTTGTGTTGACCTGAACTCCTGTACTAGGCTCCCAAAGGTCAACCAGAATGGCTGCATGTTTTAAAGTTAATCCAAACTTTAAAACCGGCCAGTGTTCTAAAAGCCGGGAAATTCATAACAGCAATCAGAGTCCAGTGAGCAGAGCTGTCATAATTGAAAAGGCAGTTCTGTCTACGGGGACCCCTCAGGAAAGTCATTTTGAGATGACCAGTCTACCTCCTATTCCCTGTGTCTGCTGGTGTGGCCCATTTCTACCTAGAACCACTTCCTGTGCTGAACTCATCAGGCCACCTCTGTTTCATAGCTCCCCGGCTTACGAGGCTGTCTCTGTGTCATAGGTGGTCAACTCATCAGGGCGCCTCACAGAGACGATGCGCCATTCATGAACTGGAATAAAAGTCAATTGGATGTTGAAGCTCAATTTACTGGTTTTATTCTTCGACAATTACAAGTGAATTTTGATTGGGAACCACGTCTTAAATTGTTAGGTCTTTCAAGAGCAATTTGAAGTTTACGAAAGTGTTGAGGAGTTAACATGTCACGTCTAGTTCATCCTTGCTGCTGTAACCCAGACTGGGTGATTTGAAAGAAAAGCAGCACACTCGTGGAGGCCGGAGGACAGCTTGTGTCAGCTGGCTGTTTCCTTTCCCACGTGGGTCCGTGGGATCCGATGCAGGTCGTCAGGCATGGTGGCGAGCACCTCCGCGTGCTGAGCCATGCTGCTGTCCCCATCCTGCCCATTCCTCAGACTTTTAGTTACGTCTGTCATTCTTGATTCTTTAAAGCAGTGTCTCACGTGGCCCAGGCTGGTCTTGAACCTGCTCAGTAACCTAGGCTGGTCTTGAATCCCTTGCCCTCCTGCCTCTACCTACCAAGTACTGAAATGACAGCTGGGAAGTACCAATCCTGGCTTGAGAAGCCGATTTTTCACTGTTACATTTCGAGTATCTGTTGGTTGACTTTGTGATTGTATCTGTTGGTTGACTTTGTGGTCGTGTGCGCTGGTGCGCGCTGCTGTGCACACGGAGGTCAGAGAGCAGCTTCTGGGAGCTGGTTCTCGATTTCCACCGTGTAGGTTCTGAATTAGGTCGTCACCCTTGGCAGCAAGCACGTTTATCTACTGAGCCATCACATGGGCCCAAGAACCTTTTTTTTTTTTTTTTTTTTTGTAAAGACTGATTTCCATTATTTTAAAATTGTGTGTGTGTGTATGTGTGTGGTATCCAGGTGCCTGCAGAGTCCTGAAGATGTTGGATCCCTGGTGGCTAGTTGTTGGTGGCTGTGGGCTGCTGAGCATGGATGCTGGCCGTCAAACTCAGGCCCTCTGCTCCTGATGCTAAGCCACCTCTCCAGCGCAAGAACCTGCTTTTTTAATGTCCAGCTGAGCCTAATGTCTGAGAAGCCCTGTTCTTATCCTTCTCACTTCTTTTAGGGAGGAAAAAGGAAGAAAACAGATAAAGTCTCTTCAAAAGCAGTTACTTGGTGTCAAGAGGGAGCGTCAGTTGCAAGTACAGGTAAGGACTGTCCGAGAGGATGATTCCGAAAGCTCCAGAGCTAAGCCCGACACTTGGCAGTCTCCTCCACAGGAGAGTGAGCGGTGCAGGCCTCCGCTTCTGCTGGGGCGCCTTTGCAGGAGACAGATCTGCCTGCTGCGAAGGCAGACGCATGGTAAGGGCTACATGGTAAGATCCTGGAGGGAGAGGGACGGAGAGAGGGAAGAGAGAGAAGAGAAGGGAAAAGGTACAGGTGTGTGTGGAATAGAACTCAGGGGCCTGCCCCTCAGAACTCTGGTCTTGTTGCCTTCCCAGGGCAGCCCAAGCACACCTGACACACCAAGTCTCAGTCTATGCGGAAGTGTGTTCCTAGGTCAGACTTTGACACTTCGTTATACTTGATGCTGATACTCAATAATTGCCTCAAGCTCAGTATAAACTATAGATTTGAGCTTTTGTTGTTGCTGCGGCCTAATCTTATCTGAAATTTTCTTCTAGAAAGATGTGTTGCCAAGTGCTCCCCGCCCCCACCCTGCCCCAAGACAGGGTTTGCCTATGAAGCCCTGGCTGTCCTGGAACTCTCTCTGTACCCCAGGCTGGCCTTGAACTCAGAGATCTGCCTGCCTCTTTCTCCCGAGTGCTGGGGTTGAAGGTATGCACCACTACCATCTGGCTTGCAATAGCCTTGGAGATGCCAACTCTGATAGAATGACTAATTGTTGTTAATAGTTTAGAAATCTGCAAGCTTGGTTTCAGCTTTTCACTGCTCAGATATGAGGGTGGATTTGAACTCCAAAGCAGGCAAGCTTTGTTATTCTCTTCATAGAATTTGGAAGATTTTAAAATGCTCTTTAATTTTTTTTTTTTAGGTTTTCTTTTTACCTTTATTTAGTGTGTGTGTGTGCGCCAGGATGTATGTGTGTAGGTCAGACGGCATCTTGTAGGAGCTGTTGTTCTCTCCCCTGTCATGGGAGTTCTGGGGATTGAACTCAGGCTATCAGGCTTGGTAGCAAGAGTTGTGCTGCACTGAGCCATCTCACTAGCCCCTTAAGGTTTGTGTGGAGACGGTTTCTCCTGCACCGCCTAGCCCCAAATGCACTGTATAGTCTAAGCTGGCCTTGGGAATCCTGCTTCTCCTGTCTCTGTCTCCCAAATGCTAGGATTATAGGCGTGCCCTACCACACATGGTTGGAAGCCATTTTATTTAGTGTATTCATGTATGTATGTGTACATGGGAGTACATCTGTGCGCGGGATTGTGGAGGCCAGGAGAGGATATTAGGTACCTTCCTTTATCAGTTTCCAGCTTACCCCCTTGGGGATAGACCTGAAATCTGCAGCTTTCCAGTTCAGCCAGTGGCCAGCCCACCTCGTCAGTCGCCCCGTGTCTTCCCCATGGCACTGGATGTACAGGCATGCATGAGCATGCTCAGGGTTGGTTTTAACGTGGATGCTGAGGACCCAGCATCAGGTCCGGATGCACCTGCAGCCCACGCTCTCCCTGCTGTCTTAGTCACCTGCCTTTTTATTGCTCTGAGGCGAACAGTGAAACTTACAAAAGAAAGCATTCATTGGGGGTTTAAATGCAGAGGGTGATTCTGTGACTGTCATGGCAGAGAGCACGAAGCAGGCAAGCCCAGCATGGCTCTGGAGCAGTCGCTCAAAGCTTGCATGTTGAGACAGCAACCCAGAGGCAGAGAGAGAAAGAAGAGAGAAAGAACAAGAGAAGGAGAAAATGAACTGAGAATGGATGGTCTGGGCTATTGAAACCTCAAAGCCCATCCCCAGTAACATCCCTCCTCCAACAAGGCCACACCTCCTAATCCTTCCCAAACAGTTTCACCAACAAGGGTCCAGGCGTTCAAATGTATGAGCTTATGGAGGCCATTCTCATTCAAATCACCACACCAACTGAACCATCTCCTGGGTGTTTGTTTGCCTGTCTGTCTATCTGTCTGTCTGTCTCTGTCTGTCTATCTATCTATGTAGTTCTGGCCGGCCAGAACTTACTGTGTAGGCCAGGCTGGCCTCAAACTCATACAGATCTACTTGCCTCTCCTCCCAAGTAAGAATTAAAGTTAGGTGCCACCACACGTGGCCAATTTTAATTTTTTTTGACTTAATAAAGTTTTATTTTTCAAAATACACAGCTGATTGAACCTGCTCATGCATCTTCCCCAGCAGCTGGATCTCCACCCTTTGTGTTTCTGGGGTAAATTACTTGGGCTTTGTGCTTTGAAACCAGCTTGAGAAGTTCTTTACTAAGTAACTCCTGGAGGGCTGCCCTGGCCAAGGAACTGTGAATCTTCAGTCTCTAGAGACCACAGCTGTAGCAATAAGCTCATAGCTGGGAACTTCCTTACACAATCTGTCCTGTGTGGCTTTGTCAGACAGCACCTGGTTGTTGAGCTTGTCCCAAACCTTACCTTTGGACCACATCTTCTTTTTGGCCTTGCCACCAGGCTTAGTTACTGGGTCTCTGTCTTTTTTGGCTGACTTTCTGGCATCCTTCTTCTTATCGTCCTTGGGAGGCATGGCGAAGCTCAGAGAGCGGCGATGACCCTGCAGCCTCATTAAGATGTCGGAAAAAAAGCCAATTTTAATTTTTAAAGTATTTTTAATATTTTTACTTGTTTTTATGTGTATAGGTGTTTTGCCTGAATATATGTTTGTGTACCACTGACAGTTCTGGTTCCCCCAGAGGCCAAAGAGGGCATCAGATCCCCTGGAACTGGAGTTGCAGACGGTTGTGAGCTGCCTTATGGGTTCTGGGAACCCACCTGGTTCCTCTGGGAGAACGGCCAGTGCTCCTAACTGCTGCGCCATCTCTCCATTCCTAAAACAGTTTTATTTTTTATTTTGTTTTTTGACACATGGTTTCTCTGTCTAGCCTTAGCTATCCTGGACTCACTTTGTACTCACTTTGTAGACCAGGATGGCCTCGAACTCACAGAGATCCGCCTGCCTCTGCCTCCTAGAGTGCTGGGACTACAGGTTTGCACCACTGCACCCAGCTCTTAAAACATTTTTTAAAGTGGCCAAAGCATGGTAATGCACGCTTGTACCGCAGTGAGCAGAAGAAAGACGATTGTGCATTTGAAATTGCCTCAGGCCAAATTAACAAGACCCTTTCTCAAAAAAAGGGGGGCACATAGTTGAAAGGGTTGTTAAAAATAAAAAAGGTTGGTGGCAGCCAGGCATGATGGTGTTAACTTGTAATCTCTACACTAGGGGATGGCAGGCTGAGCCAGGAGAATTGCAAGTGTGAGGATAGCGTGGGCTATAGAGTATGTATAACCTTGGCTATATAGTCAAGACCCTGTTTCAAAAAAATAAAACAAAAAGGGAGCCAGGGAAGTAGCTCAATGGTAGAGTACTTGCCTAGCGTGTACAAAGCCCAGGTTCATTATGTCTGTGTGTGTGTGTGTGGGGGGGGGTAATGGTGCATGCGTGTGAGGGTGGAGATGAATGTGCCCCTCTAAGAACATGTGGAAGCCAGGGGAAGATGGCCGGTGTCTTGTTCTCTCACTGTCCACCTTATTGCCCTTGAGACAGGGTCTCTCACTGAAGCAGCTCAACATTTAGCTAGGTAGCTGGCTGGTGCAACCTCAGCGTCTCTTTGTCTTCACAGCCCAGAGCTGGGGTTCCAGACATACAACACCTGGCTTTAAAAAATATTATTATTATTATTATTATTATTATTATTATTATTATTATTATTAATTTGTTAGACAGTACTGGAGATTGAATTCAGGTCATCAGGCTTGGGATTTGAACTCAAGCCCGCATGCTTGTATAACAAGCACTCTTACCCTCTGAGCCCTCTCCTCAGCCTCAAGATGTTAACTTTAAGCCTCCTGAACACATTGCTGAACCTCTCCTTATTGTTTTGTATTTGTCACTTAGAAAGTGTCTTGGGTGTCAGTCTTGAATCATTACCCATATTAATTCACTTGTATTTTTTTTTTTAATAACATCTTTCTTATCTGTGAAGATTTTTTTTTTTCTGTGTAGCCTTGGCTGTCCTGGACTCCCTTTGCAGACCAGGCTGGCCTTGAACTCACCGAGTTCCGCCTGCCTCTGCCTTCCGAGGGCTGGGATTAAAGGTGTGCACCACTGCACTGGCTCTGTGAAAATTCATAAAAGCTGGTTTATACTTAGCCCTCCCCAACTATATAGACTTTGCAGAAGTTTCCTTTCCTGAAAAATTCTATCATAGTTTTAAAATTCTTGATTTTCTAAAGACTATAGAATTTGAGCCAGGGGTGGTGGTGCATGCCTGTAACCCCAGCACTCCCGGAGGCAGAGACAGGCCCATTCTTTGAGTTCGAGGCCAGCCTGGTCTACAAAGCCAGTCCAGGACAGCCAAAGCTACATAGAGAAGCTCTGCCTCCCCCCCCCCAAAAAAAAAAAAAAAAGTTACTTGGCTACAGAACTGTGGTGGCATAAATATGTTTGTTGTCGTGTATCTTGAGCTGGCTAACTAGCCAAGGATGACCTTGATCTCCCATCCTCCTGCTTCTATATCCTAAGTTCTGGAGTCAGGAGACCGCACCCCCACATCCCATGTCAGAACTGCATGCTTCAGGCAACCGCACTCTTGTTTTCCTCTTGCCATCCAACCAGAGAGGCAACCTGGAGTGCCAGACAAGTGGCAAGGCTTCCCTTTCCCGGAGAGTCTAGCTTCCAATCCCAGCGCTTGGAGCCAGTGCCCCGCAAGCCAGGGCCAGTTGTGAGAACAGCCTCTTCCGCTAGCATGCTTTTGGCTCAGGCCGCCAGGCCCTGGGGCCTGACCTTCTGTCACTGCGCCGTCACATCTGGGTCCAGATAATATGCTCAGACAACCGTGTCTGAAGGCAGCTGGGGGCTCTGATAGAAAGTTTGGTCTGCCAGGGAACCCCACAAAGACACTGCATCTGTCTAAGGACTTTGGTCTTGGAGAAGCGGCAGGCTCCTTGGACGATCAGGATGACAGGCTGTGGTGAGAACAAATCTCTGAGTGAAAGGTCTGAAAAGCAATTCCTGAGTCAAGATTCTTGGCCTGCAGTGCTGTGTGCCTTGGCTGTCTTGTGTAGCTTGGTGGGAAGATCCAGAAATGGACCTACTTCTGCTCACGTGCTGGCATACTTCAGTCATGATTTTAGCATCTGGAGCCAGCTAGGATTGTATTTCTTACTGTGTCTCACATGGCCACTGAATGTTTGTGTGAGACATGTTTGCAAAAGATGTTTGTGTGACTCAGCCAGCAGGAAGGAAACGAGAGTATTCAGAAGCAGAAGCCTAAGACAATAGCGTTAGAACCAGATGTCTGGCTTTTTTTTTTTATACATCCAGTGTTATATGAATTTATAAACAGTTATTTAATAGTACACGATGTGATATAAACTTTCTGTTTGCTTTAGGCCTCTGCCATAGCCTTCTGTTTTTTTAATGATTTTTGAAATTATATGTATACATGTATATCTGAGTACGTACATGTGTTTGTGTGTGCGTGTGTGCATGTATGTCTGAGTGTGTGTGTGTGTGTGTGTGCGCATGCGTGCGCATATGCCTGCACTTGTGCAAGTGGTACCCAAGGAGTCCAGAAGATGGGTATCGAATACCCTGAAGCTAGAACTACGGTGGTTGTGAGCTGCCCAGCGTTCATGCTGGGAACCAAAGTCGGGCCCCTGCACGAACAGGAAGTACTCTTAGCCACTTGGCCATCTCTCCAGCTCTGACTTCTAGACAATCTGATAAAACCAAATATGGGCACATCTTGTGCTGTGCTTAACTCGAATGCAGATTGTCGTTCAGTTTCTGGATCATACCCAGGTCTTAGTTGCCCAAGGACTCTAGCATGAACCTCTCCCCTTTTTTCATTAAAATTTTCTTGCCTTCATTTTTCATGATTTGGCTTATTTATCTTCGTGTGTCAGGACCAGTAAGTCTTCTCAGAGGTCCTTAGACACTGTGGTAATGGAGGTTGCCCTTACGTTTCTCCACACACTGTTGTCTATCTACCACTTAGCATGGTGTCTGCTCTTGAAGACTTTCCTTTAATTTATTTTATTTTCATTAGTGTTCTGTCTGCATGTATGTCTGTGTGGGGGTGTCAAATCTTGGAGTTACATGCAGTTGTGAGCTGCCATGTGGGTGCTGGGAATTGAACCCAGGTCATTTGGAGGAGCAGCCAGTGCTCTTAACCACTGAGCCATCTTTCCATCCTGAAGACTTTTCTTTTTAATCAGCGAGTCTGAGACTTAAAACTGTGAGGCATTGGTGACCATCAGGCTTCTAGCACGTGTTCAGTGACCTACTGTGCTGGTGGCTAGTTTTTGTCGACTTGACACAAGCTGGAGTCACTTGGAAAGAGAGAACTGCAACTGAGGCGTTGTCTCCGTCAGACTGACCCGTGTGTCTGTCTGTGGGGTGTTGTCTGGATGAATGGTTGATGTGGGAGGGCTGAGCCCACTGTGGGAGATGTCATCCCTGGGCAGGTGGTCCTGGGTTCTGTAAGAAAGCAGGCTGAGCAAGCCTGGAAATGGTATTCCTCCATGGCCTCTGCTTTAGTTCCTGCTGCCCAGTTCCTGCCCTTCCTGCCCTCAGTGGGTGAACTGTGACTTTAAGAAAATAAACCTTTTCTTCCCCACGGTAGCGTTTGGTCAGTATTTTTTATCACAGCAATAGAAAGAAAACTGGAAGTCACTCAGCATACATCCTTTCCTACGCGGCGGCAGCATCTGCATTCAAAGACCCAGCCAGCCGAACAGAACGAGTTTGAAAGCACTTGGATCTGTACTGTAGAGACTTTATGGAAAGGACTGGAGCATCTGCAGGCTTTGGCATCCTTGGGAGGAGGAGTGACTTGGGACCAGTCCCCCGTGGGAACTGGGGAATGACCATAATCACTCTCTAGGTGCTAGGATTAGGGTTTTTGAAGGTGGAACCTAGGCCTTAACTGACTTGTCCAATTTTGGACAACTGGTGAGTCTGTGGGAAATCAGGACTTGTGATCACCTTTGACCATTGCGCTTTCTACCAAAATGAGATCATAGAGGCACATCTGTGTGGTAAATACGGAAATACAGACTACCCAACCCAAAGAAGGTTCTGGAGAGACTCACTTATTCTTGATTTGCAGCCTGCCTGCTTGTTTCTTTGCTTGCTTCCTTCCTTCTCTCCTCCCTTCCTTCTTCCCTCCCTCCCTCCCTTTCCTTTTTATGGAGTTCAAAGGAAAACTTGAGTCAGTTCTCTTTCTCTACATGTGGGTTTCAGGGATCAAACTCAGATCATAAGGCTTGGTGGCAAGTGAACCACTGAGCCATCCGGCTGCGCCTTCATGTTTTTGAGGTCTCCTGTAGCTCAGGCTGGCTTTGGGCAGCTAAGGATACAGGGTGACCTTGGACTCCTGACCATGCTGCCTTCATTTCATAAGGGGTTGGGATTATAGGTATGTAACACTATAGCCAGCTTCATTTTCTTCTTTTGAGGCAGCGTCTCAATATGTATCTCTGGCTGGTCTAGAACTTGCCATGTAAACAGGCTGGCCTCAAACGCACAGAGACCCATCTGCTTGTACCTTCAGAGTACTGGGATTAAAGGTGCGTTCCACCATGCCCAATATTGTTTTTCTTTTAATGAAACAATTTTTTTACTCTGTGGTCCCTGTTGGCCTGGAATCTGTGATAAGCCTTATGGTTGGCCTCCTGCTGCTGAGACTCATTTTCATTCATGCTATCATGACGGCTGAGTAAAGTTCCCTTAGTGTGCTGGGAGAAAGCCACCATCAATTGCCTCTTGTTTTACAAGCACAATGGATTTTCAGTTCAGAAACCTTATCTCTGCAGAGCGGGAATGAATACATTGCTCACCTCAAGGACCAGTTACAGGAGATGAAGGCGAAAACCAATTTGGAGAATCTTTATATGAAAAGAAATACCGACCTGCAGATTTCCCAGACCCAGAAGAAATGTAACAGAGCAGAGGAACTCTTGCTGGAGGAGATTGAGGTAACCTGCGCTACATTAGGATATCTGGGGATGAAGCCCAGTGATAGAACAAGTGCCTGATTCTGAGTCCAACCTACTATATCAGCAGCAACAAACAAAACAAAAATCCAGGGAGGTGACTTGATGATGTCATGTGGGTTGTCACTTTAAAAAAGTCATTTATCTTGGACTAGAGAGATGGAGCAGCTGTTAAGAATACATGCGTTTCTTCCAGAGGATCTGAGTTCAGTTCCCAGTGTCCATGTCAGGAGGCTCACAACCTCTTGTAACCCCATCTCTGTTTTTTTTTTTTTCTGACACAGAGTTTCTCTGTGTACCATTGGCTCCCCTGGACTTGATTTGGTAGACCAGGCTGGCCTCAAACTCACAGAGATCCTCCATTCTCCCAGGTCAGCTCCATATTTTTAAACTATGTATAGGTGTGTGCCTGCGAAGGCCAGAGGCATGGGGTCTTGTACAGCTGGAGTTACAAGTGGTTTCAAGCCACTCAGCCTGGTTGGTGGGAACCAAACTTGGGTCCTCTGATAAGAGCTGTATGCACTCTTCACTGCTGGGCGCTCTCCACCCTCACTGAGCTGTCATTCATCATGTGTCAGCCAGTACAAGAGGGGACAGAGGAAGATGAAGGTTTTCCTTCATGGCCAGTTCAGCCCTGGCGGTCAATCATAAAAGACTAACTGGAGTCTTAAATATTTGTGAGCAGACTGTAATGACTGTACCTCCTGCCTCCCTGTATGACTCGGGGAAGGCTGCTGTGAAAGCTCACCACTCAGGAGGTGATCTCCTGCTTCTCCTTCCTTCCTTCCTTCCTTCCTTCCTTCCTTCCTTCCTTCCTTCC